ATATATCACAGCTTTCTGACAAAATGCAGTCCCGTTCTCCTATATCACAGCTTTCTGACAAAATACAGTCCTGTTCTCCTATATCACAGCTTTCTGACAAAATGCATTCCTGTTCTCATATATCACAGCTTTCTGACAAAATGCATTCCTGTTCTCCTATATCACAGCTTTCTGACATCACTGCCTTCTGACAAAATGCATTCCTGTTCTCCTATATCACAGCTTTCTGACATCACTGCCTTCTGACAAAATGCAGTCTTGTTCTCCTATATCACAGCTTTCTGAGAATGTTTACGTGTACAGTAAGTTACAGAGAATGTTCTAATTACAAAGAATTTTTCCCACTGTCGCTACCAACTCATTTTGAATAACAGTCTATGGAGAAAAGTGAATATTTACAGACCATTTGAGTGACTTTGACGTAAACATACACAACTATAAGTTTTTTTCTATTTCAATCAGAGAGAATTTTCTTTAAGAATGTACATTCAGACTCAAATGCAAAGTTGATGTCCGCAAAAACAATATGTAATTTGACTGCCAGGGAGTATTCCAAATTCAAGTTATTAATTGTTATTGTTGTTTTAGAGCACCACAGCCAAAGTTTTGTGTAATGTTTGATACAACACAGGATTTATAAAATGGGGGCATGAAAGAGGTGTAAAATGCGATGACGGCGTCATATGCGAATTGAAAAAAGTCATTTGCATCACACGCAAGATAAAAAAAGAGTGTATGTGAAAAAACTTTTGATTTTCAGCTGACTCAGGTATGCTTGTGCTATTGCTTGTTCAAAAAACATGTATATTGTTTTGCGTTTCGAAACACAGCCATCATCTTATTCATTTCTATTTGTTCAATCAAATATTTCCAATCCTCCATTGCACTATGAAAATTCATGCAATAACTTCATCGCACATCCTAAATATTTGAGTTATATATCCTCCTTATCTTATAAATCCAACCGTATTAGCTAGATTAGAGGTACCGTAAAAACTGTATTAAAAGCCGCATCCCTAATAGAAGTCACACCCATCCTTTTTGAATAATTGAGAACAAAAAATTCATCATTTCTCATAGTGTAGGTGCTCTAATAGAAGCCGCATCCCCTATATTGCATTGTACAATTTTAATAGAAGCCGCGGTTCCTAATACAGATTTTACAGTACTCATAGAAGTAACACCTGTAATGTACATATAGCAAATACTGTATATGATTTCTTACTTTTTACTGCATGACTATCACAATGCTTTATTCAAATAAAAGCATCTGATTTAATTTACCTGATTACCTGAGAACTTAATATAATTAAACATATGATGCTTGGCAGGACAATGAAATACATTATGTATTATATTAAGTAGATGCTGATTGGTCTGTAACATTAATACTTGCAGTATTGTAACCAATCACGTGCAGTGTTACAGTCACATGGTGGGACATCATCAAGGCACCATCCAAATCTGAATTGTTCATCCATGTAGGGGGGGGGGGGGGGAGTTGCTGACTGGGTAAGTTCATGAATATTCATGGAGTGACTTGGTAGCTGGGTG